ACCATATCCAGAACCACGAGCCCACCCAACCCAACAGGCCTCAGGGTTCGAGGACCTTGTTCGAAGAGTATTCGATCCTCACCTACACGCGTACTCTGTATCCATCCTCCAAACCTATTGGAGGCTTCCAATAGCGTGATTTTTGTTGTCAACGGCGCATTAAGCGCTAGATACCATGCTGCTGTCAAACCTGATATACCTCCTCCAAGAATTACAAAATGTTGTGGTGGCATTTTTCCTAAAAAATTTGATCAGTCATCAACAGCAAACCGAGGAATGATATACAATGAGATACAGTACAGTCAGTATATGTCAAAAAAAATTTTCAAGTCAAACACCGTTCGAAATTGATGAGATCACCCCTTTCCTTATCTAGAACACTATGCAAATCCTAAATCGGGTTATCGACCGAAGAAAATGAAGGCCGATGCGGTCGACTTTCTTTGACATTTCAAAACAATTCCTCGGCTCTCGATTGGTCTTATGCTTCGTTCAAAAATGTTTGATTTTGTTCAATACGTTCGAGTAATTTATAGGACATTTCTGATTAAACCTAGTGATTAAATCGATTCTTTCGAACACGTGTAGTGTAATATTTCTGAAGGAAACCACAGAAAACGGGAGAATTGTGCCATTGTCTTTCCTATGACATCGGAATACTAAAAATTCATGGACTCGTGTGACCGGACGTAAGGAACATTATCCTTTTTTTTTTTTTCGTGGGCATGTCCATCATGTTCAGTGAGAGGGCTCGACATTGACTTACTCTACAATGGATGCCTTGAAATTGGCCTGACGACATGAATTAACTACACTCAAGGCACATGACCTTTATAAAACAAAAACTCATCGACGGATTTTTGTGATATAACAGATTTCTTGGCGTAATAGAAGTACATGTTGGTGAGGTGACAACTTCAAACAACTTGTTCGAAGCTTACTCGACATATTACATTGAAATATTTAATAATAATACATATAATACTATGAATTGTTCTATGGATTGTTATTCTCGTTAACCATCTTAAATTCAATTCCATCGATCTTTAATTTATCGCTACTCTTGGCTTTCTTCATCATTGCCTTTCTCGCCTCCTTATCTTTAATAACGCTGTGAATTGGATTTGGCGAGTCTGTACCTGAGCTATTATTACTGTTTTCAATTTCGATGGCTATTCTTTTCATCTTTTCAATGGTACTACGTTTCAATTTTATCTTGAAGGTCGCCTCCAAGAGTAAGTCTGGTGTCAACAGTTCGTGCGGTATGTGCAATAGGAATCCAAGGATCTCAGGGGATGACGGGCAATTCTTCAGAATATGATCGCGTGCACAATCCAATATGGCTAAACCGACGCGATGGAAGAATTTTACACCTGAAAAAAAGTTGAAACCATGAATCTTATGAAAATAAAATAATAACTTGGCAAAGGAGATCAGCAAGATACCTTCAAAATAAAATACGTCCCACACGCGAAGGACCGATGCCCATGGCAGAGTCATGGTAAATATTGTCATGAACCATTGGGTCATGTACATCAGTGGAACCACATCGCTATCAGCCTAAACTCAGTTAAATTAATTCTAATCAATATACAGCAGCAACCGAGAAAAAATCTCTGAATGAGCTTATTTTATTACACAGAGTAGATGGTCATTACCAAATGTTGTGCCAATTTAGGGTCATGTTCGAATAGCAGCTGCTCAAAAACGAGGGAGTCTATTCGTACTTGTGACAATGTTGGAGTAAAATAGCCAACCATGTATTCCTCGATGGTGGCCACGAGAAGCCAGAATGTGTCCTCGGCGGGCATTTGCATCAACATCATTCCCACCAGTCGACCCATACCTTGACAATATCCTACGACTTTGTTATAGTGAGCATACGCCTTCAAAATGCTATGAAGATCGTCCTGTCCAAAGCCGGTTTCCTCACGGAATTGAATGTGATCGGGGTAACACCGATGGATATCTCTTTCTATCACTTCATATATGGGGAGCTTCTCTCGCTTACATAATTCCTGCGTGAAATAATCGAATCAATGGAAAAACGAAAGAAAGAGGTACACCAATATCATTCATCACCAATGACTTACCTCGTAAACTCCAGCTTTCCGGTATTTGTGAACTCCAGCCATAAACTGCCAAGACTTTCCACGAACCGACTCTGGAATACCGAGACGGACCAATTTCTTGATCTGAAAAACGAAAGGGAATAAATAATCACTGAAGTCGAAATCAAGTGAACAATACCATCACGAAGAAACAGATCAAACCTTTTTTGACTCTCTCGCCACCTTGGGATCCATGTTTGCAAGATAATGGACCCATTTTATCTCACGTTCCCGATACAGACGAATGGTACGTGAATCCTTTTTTGAAGAACCGGGAGTTGTCACACTATCAATAAAAGAAAAGAAAAAAAAAAAAAGGTACATAAGCGATGAATTAAATTAAAAGACTGACAAGAACTCAAATCACACGAGTCACACACATTCTTTGAATGCCATCAGCACCCTCGGGGATTTCTTTTTCGTCTACATCATGCACGAATCCATACTCATCAACTGCCAAAACCTTCTCTTTTTTAGATTGCGGTCGTGTTTCGTCATTTGATTTTACAAGTTCCTCATCATCATCCTCAGAACTAGAATTTTCACTGTCGTTGACATCGCTATCATCGACAGATTCTATCACAAGGATCGGCGTGGATGGTACGAAATCCTCTGGTTCATCTGATACATCGACGCGCGAAGGAACAATTGGTTGTAATACTGCGGACTTTCTTGTAGAAAAATTATCTCTGTTCTTGCCATTATTTTGGGATAGAGGGGAGTTTGTAACAACGAATTGGTTCGCTCTAGTCTGCGATATGGGCGAAGGTGAAGGTGTGGTGGATGGTGAGTATCGATCGTTAATTTTTACTTGTGGACGTGAGTTGGCGGATGATGATGATTCACTGGACAGACCGATGGAGCTTGTACGTCGAGGAGGTACAATTTGAAATTCTGCTCGAGTTGGGCTTAACAGGGACTGACCAAAAACACGATGAGGTGCCGAGGAAGGATTAGAATGAGAATTTCCCGTGGGTAAATGTGGAGGCCTTGAGAGGGTGCTGGAAGCACTCGACGACGAACGTTGTCTACCACTCTCTTCGTATTTAAGAGATCTCGCCGAAGACGAGATATCATTTGAGGCCGAACGATGTCGACCATGGATCTGACGTGGACCACTTGGCAAACTAGACGCCTGGGATTTTACTTTATGTTGGTCAGAACCTGACGTTGTTGGAATGTCGTTGAGATTTCTACTAGCACGAGGCGATGAATTCGGTGAAGTCGTCGGCGAGTCAACAATGCCTCCGGCATTAGGATAGCGCCCAAGGGATTGAGAATCTTTCGGGGGGAGAATAGACGCATCGTATTGCGCATGTGAATATTATGTGATGAGACAAGTCATACCAACAAAAAGCTTCACGAACCTATGTCATTTGATTGAATTCGATCGTTGGAAATCGGAGGTTCGAAATTTTGCCCTGGTCGCGTCAAGTTTTGTCCAGAGTTACCGGATAATGATCTTGGATCAGTAGAATCATCATTGATCAACGGTGGTGCAGAATTGTTCCTTCTCGCGCTTATTGGTTGGTTAGATTGGTTTTGTGATGGAAAAGGGGAAGACATTTGTCTCAATTGATTTTTTGACGAAGGGAAGGCGTTTTGACTATGGGATGAAATTGCCAGCCGACTATTTAATGACAACGGGGAATCACTTTGTGCTTGATATGATAATTTCAATTGATCATTTGAAGTTTGAGGTGAATCGCGTTGTGATGTTTGTGTTTTATCGGGATTACTATTAAATGATGGTGATGAATTTTGAAATTCCTTATTATGCAAATGTCTAGAATCTTTTGACAACGTTGGGAACGAGCTATTGATACTAACGTCATCATAGATGGGACTTGGGGTGATGTTAATTGCGGGTGTCAGCACAGGTGATGGCGGAGCTGACGAGGACGAGGTATTTTTTTCGGAATCTGGATTGAATGAAATGCGTAGTTTTTAAGAAAAAAAAAATAAAATAAAAAATCGACAGTTGATAATGAATTCGTGTATCACTGTTCACTGTACCTAGTTCAATAGATGATATTGATGAGGATCTTGATCTCATCTGAATCGCACGCTCAGCATCTGACGGGCTAAGGAAGTGACCAGTAGTAGGAGAGTCTAAACGTAACTTTTTTTCTGATGTTGGTTCATCAAGGGAATCAGATTTTTCTGTTCTTAATTGGTTGTTTTCAAACGATACGGAACTTCCACGAAATCGCCCGATCACCCCTTCACAATATCCCTGATAGATTGCGCATTTGAAAGGGCGTAAAAACATTGGTGAATGGTTTGCAATAAAAAATCGGAGAGGAGAGAGAGAGGGAGAGGGAGGGAGATAGAAATATATACTTACAAGGTAAATATCATCTTTAATATGCTTCAAGACAGTAATTACCTCTCCTAAAAAAGATCATGCAATAAGACTGGATACCACGAAAAAATAACGAGAAATAAAATAAAATAAAATAAAATAAACCCTACCAGTATAAAACATCAAATCAACTTGGGTGTTTGCCAATGTGTCCCGAGTTGCGACGCATGTTCCAATGCCCCCTACAAAATAAATGATGCATTTTTTTGGAAGATTAATAAAGACTCGATCTATGACATATATGTACATGTATATATTACCGAAGATGAACACCTAACATACCCTTCCTGGCGAACTCGTGCAACTTCTCTAACTTGGAAGTGATTTTTGTTTGCGCTTTTTTATCCATTTCTGTCGAATTATGGGCTGCGGTAGTAAAGTAGGCTATCTGCAATACGACGATAGTGTATTGCTATGCTCTTCACGGTTTTAACTTATAAATAGGGTTTGAAGGAAAAAATTAAACTGGAAAGTGAGGAGAGTGTAATTGTTGGAGGAGTACCGAATATTTATAAAAGTATTATGGTGAAAAGCCGCTAAATGATTTTTGTTTTGAGTATACGGGATTCCTGCGATCGTTGATGTTTCGAATAGAAGAAATGTTTCAGCAAGGCTAAAAGTTACACAAAATGGAATGCACACCAGCGATATTTACAAGAAGCAGTGAATGTAAGTTGATTATGGAAGACTCTCCATAAATTATCCCGATACCGATTGCTTCTCTAAGGAGTGAAATACGTTTTAAAAGAAAGACATTTGCCCTTTCTCGATAATGTTGAAGGAGGTCATCATGTATTGTTCATGCAGCAGGTGCAGGAGATGAAGTTTTTTTTGATCGAGAATGTACTTTTATGGAAATTTTGTGAAATGAGGCACGTGACAAATTGCACACAGTGTACGTAAATAGTAGGTGCGAAAATAATGTTTTCTGGTGCATGTAACACGTACTGTACGTACATACGGGACACTCGACGTTTAAGGTTATTGGTTTTTTTTAAGGAACCCTAAAGGTCGTGTGGAGGAGATCAATCCTATAACAATGATTTTTTTTTACCTGTTATGGTACATTGACAGCTCCAGGAACGAGTTATTGTGTGGTAAAAAAAAAAATAAAAAAATAAAAAAAAATCCTATTATTACATGACTCTAGGCAGGAAATATCGTGTTTAAAAAATGACTTCAACACCCGCCACAACTAAGGTACCGTAATGGAAATGAAATAATGGAACCAATAGTTAAGCCTATGACTAAAAAAAAGGTTAATAGAGTACCAGCAAAACCTTTATCTACGCCCGTCACCTGAGGACCAGCCATCATTATCAATGAAGTCAAATAACCGTTGGAGACGGAGAACAAACTCAAGAAAAAGAAATATAACAGGTCGCTCTCTATCAACAACGGAAAGATCCTTCGGCCGTTGAGACCAACATCCACGTTGCACAACAGGAAGATTGGTATGAATACGAAACGACCAATTGACAACATGGCCAACTTCCTTTGATCGGTTATTATCAGAAGGTCAATTGTTGGCAAATTCCTACCAAGCCAGTCCCCAAGGTTATAGAACAGAAAATGTAAGGGTATGAACAAATAATCTTTCTGAAATTTTTTTCGGTTTCCCTCATCGACCACGGATTTGATGGACGAAGTGATAGAAGGAAAAACACCCAGTGTTACAACAAAGACTAAGGTCACTGCAAAAGCCAGAACACGAACTTTTTTTAAAGTATCGAGTAAAGGCCTGGTGATCATGGGTTGTCTCGGAGTCGTGTTCTTGATCGGAACATAATGCCGGTAGAAAGAAGATCGAAGAAGGACAAGGTATGAAATGAGTGCGGTAAGAGAGATTGTGAAAGCAGAAAAAAAGTAAATGTATGCATTTTTCGCCAAAGCGTCTTCAGATAATGTGTTGTCGGCCAACGGTTCTTCTTTCAATGAACTAAAAATTTGTGCAAGTGCAGCAGCCACACCCGCCAGGCCTAAATTTATAATGGAAATGGTGAAAAATTCATTCATCTTACAGGTGGAGGTGCACCTCACCACAGTGTAGGAAAAATGACTAATGATTTACCATAACCGCTATGTACCGAGAAGTGAGGATGAGATGATTTTAGATTGGATTGGTAAAAATAATGGGTTCAAATGATTTGAATGGAATGGGTGAAACGCACAACATCTACCTCATCACAGCCTGAATGTGAGTCGGCGAAAATCGGGAAACAAGCCCAAGTATATCGTTTTGTAGATAGGCGGTTGTAATTCCATCGAGAAATATCAATGAAATGATGAAATAAAAATATCCGGAAGGAGTAAAAAGCTCGGTATACTGAGTGGAAGTTGCCACCAAAAAAAATTTCGATGTCGATATGACGAGAGCGACAATTGGTCGGCGAGATACGCTTGTCTGTTTCAAAATCAAATTAGGATGTCACCGCAACATAAAAATTCACGAGATCATATCCAGCCAACCAACCGTTTGTTGAGAGTACAAGGCGTGAAAGAGAAATAGTAAGTTTGAGCTCATGTAAGCAAGTGAAAAATAATTTTGAAAGTCATCGGAATAGGGAGAACCAGCGAATCGGGAGCGGAAGAAAACGTCTGCGGTAATAAAAACTGTGGCGGGAAAATGGGAAGATAAATTCACGATTTTAAAACCGAAAAACCTAATTAAATCCTCGAGCCTTACACACTAACCATTCCATCCTAAAAGCATTGAGGTTCCTTGTATGAAACAAATAATATAGATAATGTTATAATGATCTTTAGGAGGAGTTTCAGGTTTTCGAATAAGGGCCTCGCTATCATTTTCTTCGTGTTCAATTTCATTGTTTGGTGCTTCAGAATGAACGGGTCGATAGCCCTTATTTAAAAGAGTTAACGGATTAAAAACTCGAGAATTCGACATGATATTTATTCGCAGAAAAAATGTGAATTTTGGACAGATTCTGTACAAGTAACAAATACAAATTCTCCACTCGATCAGATTACGTTGAGATGGAGAAAAGGAACAAGTTATCGTTTTTTTTTTTTTTTTTGCAAAGCATTAAACGTTTATATTTTTGAGGAGTCACATGAACGATTTACATCCTCAGGTGGTACATTTTACACACGTGAGAGAAAGACAAAAAAAAGCAACGCCCCCGACTGTACTTGCGTGATCCATCAAATTTTCACCTTTTCATATTGGGGATTTTCTTGTTGCACACAAAAGAGAACTCATGCAAGACACCTAAAATCGCCTAGGCGGCGGTATCAACCGAAATCTTTCAACCTGGGTTTATTCCGCAAAGTTGATTATTCGGTCATATTGACGATTGTAATATCAGAAGAATGCTGTGTTGTTGTTTGTCCATCTGTACTTATAAATACAAAATATTATTGATACACGTGATCTTGTAATGATATCGTCATTCGTATCTGATCTTCAGATTTTCGTTTATAAAAATTGATCGGTCGACGCTTTTTACTCAATCGTCCTATCCTCCTGACATGGTGGTCCCCAAAGGTTCAAATGTTGTGAAAAGTAATTTGCTTCTTATTTATATTGAGACTATTCGATAATTGCGCAAATCTTCCTCTGAATGAACCTTTTTATTCGCAAAAGTCGAAAACATCCCGTATGGTGTTAATGAAGAAACCCTGAAGGGTGTCTTCCAAAAAGTTGGACCGGTGGCGTCTTTTCGGTCGGCCGTATTTACTTGTTATTACAATTTATCGCGTGAAAAGATTGTCTTGATGACACACCTATTGTTATTATTATCATAATTAGCATTGCGTTTGATAAAGAAGGTGGACCGGAAGCTACCGGATATGGTGATTCAATTTCCTTTGACCAAAGATTCAAAGGATATACATCTGATAACCCCAAATATATAAATCTTTGAATCAGGATTTTGTGAATATTACGATTCACCGACCGCAACGAATGCGATGCAAAATTTTAATGACCTCGAAATCGATGATCGAAGGTTAAAAGTTCACGTCATGAACTGCGTTGACCCGCCATCTGCGTTATCCGAGAGTCGCTCAGAGGACGAAGGCGGATCGATTTTTTCGCAAGCACCGCGCAATCCTGAAATGTCAAAGGAAACTTTGAAACAAACTCCCGTTGAATCCATTACATCTAAAACAGGAATGAACGGATTGCAGCTCATCGATGCTTTAATTACTCTAAAGGTAGAATTCTTATTGTAATATCGATGATTTGACGCGACGGTTCTTCTCATGCATTACAAAATGTTACCAAAGATGCTATTTGAAAGGAGTGAAGCACAAGCTAAAGAATTATTAAATAGTAATCCTCGGCTATCTCATGACATGTTCGTAACACTGTTGGAGCATAATCTCGTTGAAAAAGAATTATTGCAGGTTGTTCTTTTCTAATTACGTAATGATAACTGAACAAAGTATTGACCAAAGTATTTTTGTTTACTTTAAGCGGGTGAACACTTTCGCTTCTCAAAAAGCAAACATTGCTACAACTCCTTTTTTATCTCTGAACGCCAATGCCCATGGCAATATCAATTCAAACGGCCTGCTTGCACAGCAACAGGATACATTGTATAGACCAAGTTTGCAACTGACCCAACAAACGATGCATTATCAACCTACTTTGAGTCATTTCCAACAAAACTCTCTGCAAATTCCCGTACAACAAACTCCAAATTTGTTTTCTTTTCAACAATATCCCTTGCAAGTCCCTACACAACAATCACATAGTCGGCTTTCCATTCAACATCCTCAGCACGATGCAATAACGAATGTTGGAAATACTTTGGACACTTGTAATTTTGGTGAAAGGAACGCAGGAATCACTGCCGGTAAGTTCAAGGATTATCATTGTCATAACCGATGAAGACCATGCTTTAACCTTTCGCCCATTGTTAATTTCTGCAGATTCACAGATTCGGGAACAAAATGCGGTCAGTCAAATTCTCGACCAATTATCCTATGTTACTCATGCATTGATTTATAATTTAACAAGGAAAAATATTCACTTTGTTATTCTACTATAGGCGTTGATTCTTAAAATTCTAAACCTTACGCAACAACAAATTGATTTGTTTCCTCCCGAAGAACGTAATCGCATAATTCAATTGGCAAGTATCTTTATCATGATCTAATTAATTAAATGCCAACGGTTTAATCAACCATAGGCTAATTGAATGACCTATAGAAACATCAAATCCTCCTTCAAACGAGGAGATAAGACGGATGTAACCTCAAAATTTGAATCTGTTCATTTGTGTTTCATTAATTATTCGAGGTAAGACATGACAAAAGGGAGATCAATTACCCGAGGCAAGGTCAAATTACTCTAGAAAAATAAATTCTCATCTATAAATAAATTAGTTACTTTACACATGCATGTTTATGGTGGTACAATCTTACGTGATAATGACAATTCTAATTCATAATTTCCATGCACAAGTCAATTCAATTACCAAACCATTGTGCTTTTTCTGACTACTTCTAAAGTCGCAATTTGGAATAATTCTAATGTCTAACTTTATATTACCATTCATTCTACTGTAATCGCAAAGTTTATCTCCGATTATATCATTCTTTTCTCGTTCGATTCAAAGAATCTGGCTTTCCTTGGTCTACCCACCCCTTTGTCTTTGCAAATGCATTTATCTACAAACGGGTGTCGAGCTCTATCGGAGAGTTTATCGCATTTGGTGCAATAGGTGTGTGCGTGGTGGTCTTCGGAGCGACTTTTACACGGCTTGCACCATTGTCCCGCAATCGACCATTTTTCTTGGTATTGTTTTTTTGAAGGAATTTTTTTATCCCTCGGGGCGTAACCAATTGTCTTGATTCCTTTTCGTATTTCCTGCAGCATCACCTCCGCTTCTCTACACTGTTCATCGGTGATTCTTTCGACGATCCATTCGTCTTTTTTTTGAGTATCAGCTTTCTCCTTCCAGCTAGTCACAATCCATTCTTTATTCTCTACCTTTTTATGTTCCTTATTCGAATCTGAAGATAGTCTTGATCGACGTTCTTCTCTGAGGGCGGACAAAGTTTTTTTCCACCTGTAATCTTCATTCCCTTTGTTTATTCCCTGCTGAAAATGGCCAATCGCCTGCTCAATTTGTTTATCATTAAAAAATCGAATCAATTCTCTAGCAATATCCATTATTATTTGAAAAAAGTGTTATTGTCTTTGGTGAGGTGTGCTGTGCACCCTTTATATAGGTAATTTTCGTTTCATAACCTATAGGAAACTTTCGGGTCAGATCTTTCCCGAGTCAGCGCGGTGCAACAAGTGCATCACAACAGTATATAAACGGCCGAATTTATTATGCCTTCATTGTGGTAAAAGCCTGGACATAAAAAGTCAAAGGGGCTTAAACGCATATACTGTTTAGCAACAATCTTGTTTTTTATTCAAGAACATTCGATTCATTCATTGACCACATTCAATCATTTTAATGTCATTTACTGAATATGGAAATATTTATGCGTAAATACTGTAATATAATTTAATTTGGCAAATAGATTCTTTCATAGATGCCATTTTGCGTTACATTCAAATGCAATGCCGTATAATGAAACCGTGCTAATACTAATCCTCTTGTTTATATAAGTCTATTTGGTTCACATTGTTACCCGCCAATGTTTTTTTTCCAATTCGTGTTGAATTTCCAAATGTTGTTTGCTTAAAAAAAAAATAATAATTCTTCTTTTCGACTAATTGCCGCAAATACAAATCCCTTTATTGTTTTACAAATATTTATGAATTTATTGATTTCATTGTAACATACTGTATATGCTCTGTTAATAACATTTCATATTACACTGTATTTTCCTCGAATGACCTATTTTATTATTATTATTATTATTTTCCCGATAACACTCTATATCAAGTTTTCTTTAATGATACTTTTTTTTATATATTTGATAATACCATTACAGCATTACATCTTAAAGGACCGCAGTTTAATAAAAATAAAAGATGATTTAATCTTTTTAACGTCCAATTGAACATTACATACACATGTTCAAAATCGTATGGAATATGTCAAGAGTATATACTATAGACTGTAATATACTGATTGTCTTTAAACAACGATATTTCATAATAAAAATCATGACATCTTAATTTAAGTAATCTAAACTAGTCCAAATTAGATTATTAAGCTACCAAATAATACAGTCAAATTTATTAATAAAAATTCATGCTGAAATTTTATTGTTTGACTCAATTTATACCATTGGCATTTAAAAAAATATATAATAATTTGACAATAAAAATACAATATTTAGCAATTAAAAAACATTTGACAATAAAAAATTTACAAAAAAATTAAAACAGTTGGCAATAAAAATTACAATATTTAAAAATTTTTTTATTTGTACAATTTAATTGAAAATTTTTAACTATAAAATTTAATAAAATCATTTAATATTATATACAGTATAATACTTCAATAAAAATTAAAAGATTATAATTTACAAAATTTGTTTATTTTAATAAAATAAGAGTTTTTATTATATGATTAATATTAAGATATAAAATATATTGCTATATATATTAGTCTATTATTTTATTAGATACTGTATATTTTTTTAATAAAAAAATTTTTAAGCAAAAAAAAAAAAAGAATTATCTAATTTTGAAAAACTAATATTTTTCTAATAATTTTTTCTATTCTAAAAGAATATGAGTAATTATTTTTAAAAATGAATTCAAATTTAAGATATATCTTTATTATTTTAATAATATAATCCTAAATTTTAAATATATATAGTAAATTATATAATATTGATTAATCATATAATTTTTTTTTATTACAAATTTATTAATTTAAATTTCTGAGTTTAAAATAATTAAAATAATTAAAATAATGATATCTTTATCAATATAAAATATTATTTAATACACAATTATTTATTTTGAAACTTATATCAAATAATTATTTATTGAGATAATTATATAATAATATTGATATTTAATTTTCAAATTTCAAATTTCAGATTTTAAATTTTAAAAAGATTAAAATATTAATTTTTTTTTTATTTTTTTTTAAGGTGAATTGGTAATTAATGTCATGATTTTTATTGAATTATTATATTTGAATCATATACTTGCAGTCTTATACATACTAATATTACTACTAACTATAAGTTTAAATATAACCAATCTACTTTTTTATCCAGATATCAATTTATATTATATGAATAGATCCATATTCAGGTTTAAGTTAAAATATTGATATCTTTATTAAAATATAATATTATTTAATAAATATTTTTTTAAAGCTTATATAAGAACTTTTATAAGAACTTTAAAAAATACTGAACTGGTATTAAAATGGTATTAAAATAATATTAATTTATAATAAATTTAATATATAAATTGTTATTTACTTATATAAATTTATAAGAGGTTTTAAGTTTTGGGGTCTAATTCATATTTTATTGCTAATAATAGCTTATATAGTTAAGATTTTTTATATTTGAATCATTTTGATATCTTTTTTATTCTTAGATTTAGATTCAAAACTTGATCATTTCTTATTATAATATTGTATCTATATTTTTATATTAGCTTTCTAAAGTTTTTTTGAAAATTTAAGGTGGCTTTATAAAATAGTTATCATGTTTTGAATTGGATAATCTGTTTAATATTTATTATACTTTAGACTTTAATAACTAGGATCTTTAATATTAATTCAATTGTGAAATTCAGTCTTTTATTTTTTTTCTCTAAAAATTTTTTAAGTTAGGTAAAATATAAATAATTCTATATTAGCAATATATAATATATTTGACAGATTTTCAATAAGTTTTTTAAAATCTTTATTAAACTTTTTATAATTATGAATCAGGCCTTACTGATAAGTTTTTCTAATACTGGATATATAAAAAAATAATCTCTGTTTTCTAGCTCTGTGTTATAAACTCTACAATTGTTATATGCTTTATATAATCAAGATTTTCTTGTTTCAAGTTTATCTAATATCAGCAACTTATTGTATATTAGTTTAATTCAAAAGTTTTTTTTTTTATATTCTTTAAAAAATATAATAAGTCTATTAATTTGAAATTGTTTCAAAATTGCTTTTAAATATATTTTTCTTGTTAATTAATTTGGTAATTAAGTAAATGTTGTATTTTTTTTGACTTGGATTATGTTTTCAAATTAATTATTTTATTAATTTTTTTAACAAAACTCCTGAAAGCTATATTAATTGTCTTGATATATTAGGTAACAATTATTTATATACAGTATATCTGTTACTTGTTAGGATTCATATAATTGCTAATAGTTGAATGGTTTGTTTGACAAATTGATTTGTATATTTATTAAATATGTTACTAGAGTATGTTTTAACTTTCTTGAAACTAAGTCTAATATTTTCTTATTTAAAATCTTGAAAATGTTATATCAAATAGATCAGTTATTAATTTTAAGTTATCTTTTATAAATTAATTTGAAGTTAGCTATGAATATTAAATTAAAGATATTAATACACCTTTAACTATTTGTATGAATTATTATTTTTTTGTTTCTTGGAACTGTAAAAATTGTTATTAAAATTGCTATAACTTTTGTTTTACTTAATAATAACTAGTTTAGAATTTTACATTGAAAGCTGCTAAAAAGAGCAGGTTATTGAATTTGGATCCAAGCAGTATCTATCTTAATTTTTTCTTTTTTTATTTCTCTGTTCAAAAGTAAACTATCTATAAAAAATTTATAGAAACAGATTAATTAATTGTAAATTAAAGTTATTGAAAACTTATTATTAAATAGGACTTTATAGAATTTATTTTATAATTTTTTAATGTAACTATTTGTCTAATTAATTCTATATTTTAATCAATTATTTGAACTTCTTGCAATCTTTTTTGTCTTGTACAGATAATTATTATTTTCAGTATAACTAGTGCTTGTTTTTCAAGTATATACTGTAAGTATTATAAGGAATTAATATTTCTGGAGTTTTGTTGTTACTATATGTCTTGTTTAAGAAATTACAATCTAAAATATTTTTTCTTTTGATTTGGACTATATATAAATTGTATAATGTTATTTTTAATGAAATAATATTTAGATTGTAAGTAGATTTATTACAGGTTTTAATAAGGATTTGTTTTGATTTAGATGCTATACAGTTGTAATGAAAAATATAATTAATCTATTTAATGGATTGTTTTTTGTTTGTATTTTCCCTATTATATTGTATTTTAACTTTTCTGTTTAATAA